ACCTCGCCCTTAATCCTGCCTCCGGTAATACAGACCAATTCCTCCAGAGCTCACATAATTTTCTTGTGAAACCTTCTTATGACTGATATTTGCAGAGTAGCCACCTGGAGTTCACTATACATCTTTATAAAGTGCACTGACATTGTGGAAGCCTCCAGGACAGCAGTGTCTACAGTTGCTGTTCACTTAGGGTATTTCAAAACCATTTCCAGATATACAGGCACTGCTCTGGAGTCATTTGCATTGAGTGTATATGATGACAGTTTCTTGCGGACAAAGCATTACTTGCTATTTCATAAAACATATGCATCTTACCCTCCTTTCTATTGTTTTTGGAGTCAAGATACAGAAAGTGTGTTCTGGCCTTTATCCCCCCTGGAACAGGGCACAAGGAGGGACAGGCCAAGAATGCACAGTGCTGGTACTGTGAAGGCAAAAGGGTCGGTCTGAGGGTATAGGCACATGTACGTTGGAGCAGTTTCAGAAGAGGAACGTTTCAAAAGGGGAGCTGCAGTTACATTCTGATTATTACCTGTGGTCAAGGCAGGAACCATATAATGTTGGAAAACCACTCCAACTTTAATACTGCTTTGTCCGAGGTTAAAATTGCGGTGGTTGCGCTACATTTATATCGTTCTCAGTTTGTCTACACCTAAGAATTAGAACATAACAGCTGCTCCTCTTTTGAAACTGCTCCAAATGCACGTGTATCCATACCATAATTTGCAGTTCAGAGACATGAAATATACCTACAGTGAGACTGTGGATGTGGAGAATATATTTCAAAGAACTCCAGTAACTACCAAGTAACTTCCTTTTCTCAAAACGGGGAGAGATCATTGGTCTGCTGAGCTGGGGTAAAACAGTTGACCTAAAATGCAATTCATCTTTGGGGCATTAAGATAAAGTGGAGGGAAAAACATTTGAGCGTAGAAAGGTATTCATACGTGCGTTCTTGTAAGGTATTCAGTTCCAAATTTTCCTAGTTTTATTATTGGTAAAACCATAGTTGCTTTCCAGCATTGATACATAAACCTGTTCAGCCTCCACAAGAGAAGGCTGAGGGGGGATCTAGTGGCCGTTTACAAACTAGTCAGGGGGGACCGGCAGGCATTGGGGGAGTCCCTGTTCCCCCGAGCACGACCAGGAGTGACTAGAAATAACGGTCACAAGCTGGCAGAGGGTAGATGCAGGCTAGACATTAGGAGGCACTACTTGACTGTCAGGGCGGCTAGGATCTGGAACTAACTTCCAAGAGAAGTGGTGCTGGCTCCTACCCTGGGGGTCTTTAAGAGGAGGCTAGATGAACACCTTGCTGCGGTCGTTTGACCCCAGTACTTTTTTCTGGGGTCGGACTTGATGATCTGCTCAGGTCCCTTCCGACCCTACCAACTATGAAACTATACAGATGAAGTATTAGTTTCTTGCCCAGTGATCATAAACAGTTGGGATATTGTGGGAGGAGGAAGGTTACAGAAACTGAGATTTATGTAAACCAACTTCAGTAGGTATCTTTTTGATGTGCATGAACTTGGAAAGAACCTAGTTCACAGACAGGTGGAGTTAGGTAAAAGATCGTTTTATTATTACTGCTTAGTCTGTTGTAAATAAGACTTCGTTTTTGATAGTGTCAATATAGCACTTTTCAACAGGAAGCAGTGGGATGAATTGTGTAGATTATAATTACTTTGAATTGTTCTTGCTTGTTGGTTTGTGGGATTCTTTCAGGATTGTTTATGCTGTGGGGGGTTGCATTTCTATTTTAACTTTTGGGTTTTTTAGGGGCTGACATTTTAGAGTATAAGCACTGAACATGGTGCATAAGTTACTTTTCTTTAAAATTCTGCAGGCTGTAACACTTGACCCAAATTTTCTGGATGCTTACATCAATCTGGGGAATGTTCTGAAGGAGGCAAGGATATTTGACAGGTAAGCAGATGGCATCTAAGAGTTTTTCCTCTAGCAGCCAACCATTATCCGAATATATGTTACATTCCTGATTTTTTTTTTTTTTTTTTTTCCTTCTCAATTGTTGCCTGAATAAATTATCACTTAACATGAAGTAAATGTCCTTGGAATACACGCTTGGAGTTTTCACTACCCTGGGATATATAAATGAACATTGCCCTGACCAGCCTTCCCTTCTTTCTTATCATTGCAAAAAGTGAAATACTTACCTCTACTGTTGCTATATTGCTTGAGAAGTTTTCAGCTTCTTGCCTCTAATTTTATTAGGAAGGTATATGTAGTTAGACTGGTTGCCAACACTCTTTTTGTCCACTAGACCTATGTTTTTTCAGGCTTTCATAATGTATAATTTAACCTTTTCATTATAGATACTTTTTGTACATGGCTGAAGATACTCCTTTGGTTTTAAGTTGTACTTCATGTATAATGGCTCCCTATGTGATAATAAGTATGTTCTGCCTTTCTGCAAGAGAGAGACCAAGTACAGCCTTGTGCTATGTGAGATATCTTGGGTCTTTAACTGGACAGGTAGAGCTATAGAGTTAACAGGAGTGAAGTGGCTTAGTTTTAGTCCAGAAGCTATCGCAGTGGTGTACTGTGCACACTAGCTGTTTAGGAGCTAGTAGGAATCTCAGTGTCAGCAAGACATATGCTGTAAGACATGCTTTTAGATAGGCTGAGCTACAAGTTTCAGAAAAGTCTCCCTTCTGACATGCAGGGCAGGTATCTGAGGTTCATTCTTTTATCCATGCAGTCTTACTTTGGATTTAATCTTGGAATGTTCAGTTCTCAGAGAGGCTTTTCCAGTCATTAAAGTAAGACTTCTTAGAGCGAACTCTTAGGTTGTTTGTTGATTGTTCCTTATTTATGTGACACAAAGATTCATGCCATCTTGTTTGAAAGAATGGTTAATTAGCATGGTAACTCTTTCTTGTAAGATGTTTGCCTTTGTACTTCCTTGTTCTTGCCACCTTTCTGCACTGTTTCAGTCTTGCTGAAGGAAGCATTTAGGGTAGGTCTTTGTGACAGTATAGTGCCATGTGGAGATAGAATCATAGAAAATGACGGTTGAAAGGTACCTTGGGAGGCCAGTTAGTCTAATCTCCATGTCAAAGCAGGGCCATCCCCAACTAGATCATCCCAGCCAAGGTTTTGTCTAGCTGGCCCTTAAAAACCTCCAGGGATGGAGGGTAACCCATTCCAGTGCTTCCCCACCCTCCAAGTAAGAATTCTTCCTAATAGCCAGTCCAAACTCCCCTTGCTGCAACTTGAGCCTATTGCTCCTTGTTTTGTCACCTGCCACCACTGAAGACAGTCCAGCTCCATCCTCTCTGTAACCGCCCTTCAGGGAATTGAAGGCTGCTATTCAATAGCCCCAGGTCCCTCAGCCTCTCATCAGTCAAGTGCCTGAGCTAACCCAGCATAGTTACAGGACGCACTGCAGTTGCATCAGTGTGGCACAGCTCTTGGAGGGACTAACTCTGCTGAGAAACTAGCTGAGCTGTCATGTAAACAGAGCCTGAGTGATCAACAAATGTGTTTTGTGTGCTCACCCCCAGATTTGGGACTGTGACTACCAAGGCTGGGTGCACTTGTAGGTGTAATGTGTGCTGCTTCTCAGGAAATTTCGTGCTTAGGTGCTGAGCATAAACATTTCATCTAGGGGGTGTATTTGTAGAAAGGGTCATCCTGAAGAGCCCAACTGGAAGGGGGGATTGGATGTTTCCCTTTAGATAAGTGCTGAGGAACAGTGTCTTTCTCCTGCATGTTTTGAACTGCTGTTTTAAAGTTGGAATAAATAACTTGTTGTCTTAGTTGAGTTCTATGTTTTTGATTTCTGTACTGTCCTCTTTCTTATCTCCAATAGTTGTTACTTTTGCACAGTAGAAGAGGCTTTTTTCATGTCTTCAGTTAAAAAGCAGTAGAGGGCACAAACACTATTCTCTTCTGTGCATGTCGTTTATGACTGAGATGAAGGTACAAGTAATTGTGTGCTGTCGTATGTTAGCCATATAAATGTTAACTGCACCTCTCATTACAGAGCTGTAGCAGCTTATCTACGAGCCCTGAGTCTGAGTCCTAATCATGCAGTTGTGCATGGCAACTTGGCTTGTGTGTATTATGAGCAGGGACTGATCGATCTGGCGATAGATACCTACCGTCGAGCTATCGAGCTGCAGCCACATTTTCCTGATGCATACTGTAATCTGGCCAATGCTCTGAAGGAGAAAGGCAGTGTAAGTATTTCTGTTTCATTTTAGTCTGCTATTTATGTAAAGTTTTGCTGATGCTTGTTTTAGGACCTCAAGTGATAATGAACATTGATAAGGTGGAAAGCTGTCTTTTAATATTTGGTTGGTTTGTTTATAAACTTGTAGGAAAATAATAGGAACAAAGTCTTCTCATCAGAGCTGTTTAAAGATGGGCATTTGTAATATGACAGTCTCACAAGCAGTGTTTTCACAAACGTAACCATATCAAACAGTATTTCCATTGCTTGCTTAATTTACTCAATATTTCTTAGTAATAAAAATGGAATTTTGTTCAAGGTGGCTGAAGCAGAGGAATGTTACAATACAGCTCTTCGCCTGTGTCCCACACATGCAGACTCTCTCAATAACCTGGCAAACATCAAACGGGAACAGGGGAACATTGAGGAGGCTGTCCGCCTTTACCGCAAAGCTCTTGAGGTACGCTTGAATGTGACGATAAAGAATAGCGTACGGGTATGTAGCTCAGAATCCGTAAGGCATAGATCATTCGTGTCGGTAAAGAAGCAGATAAAGCTGGTGATTCTTCTGGTGAAAGCTGAATGATATGCCAAGGAGAGCACAAAGTTAACATTTTGTAATGCGGTGTGTTTGGCAGATCTAAGGGGCAAACTTAGCTCTCTGCTTGGTTGTCTTACAGGTGTTTCCAGAATTTGCTGCTGCCCATTCAAACTTGGCAAGTGTTCTGCAGCAGCAAGGAAAGCTACAGGAGGCTTTGATGCACTACAAAGAGGCTATTAGGTAAGAGCTTGCATTTAATGGTCCCAAAGGCTGGTAACAGGAACATTGTATAGATGCACAGGAAATGGCTTAGTGCTGCCATTAGGATTTCCTGGAGTGACAGCTCTTGTGTTTGTGGTTTTTCTCAATTTTAGAATCAGCCCCACATTTGCAGATGCCTACTCTAATATGGGAAATACTTTGAAGGAGATGCAGGATGTTCAGGGAGCCTTACAGTGTTACACCCGTGCCATCCAGATAAATCCTGCTTTCGCTGATGCACACAGCAACCTAGCCTCCATTCATAAGGTATAACTGTATTCATGGTTGACTTCATAATTCAGTAATGCATTTGGCAAACTGTCCTTCAGTCTGTTTTTGCCTGCTGACTACTTCTTCTACATTTGTAGGATTCAGGAAATATACCAGAGGCCATTGCTTCTTATCGCACTGCTCTGAAACTAAAGCCTGATTTTCCGGATGCATATTGCAACTTGGCCCACTGTTTGCAGGTGAGGAGAAGGGCTGCAACTAATTCTTAGGAGTTACCCTGATTGCAGATACCAAGACTGTCCATGTCAAACAGCCAGTGTATCATACTGTTTTAAAGAGGAGACACAAATCTTAAATTAGAAGATAATTTTGCAGTCATTGTCTCTTCTGGAGAAGTGCTTGCTTGCTTCATTGAGCTGCAGTAATGTCAACCCTGTCAGTTATTAGGGTAGCTGAGACTTGCAGTTAAATACAAAACATTGTGAAATACCTTATTTCCATGTAACGGAGAAACATGGATCCATCCTCCTTCAGTGTAAACAGAATTGAACAAATCTCTGTTTTAAATTTATGCCAACTCAGGGCTTTCTTCTCCCTTTCTAGATTGTCTGTGACTGGACAGACTATGATGAAAGAATGAAAAAGTTGGTTAGTATTGTAGCTGATCAGTTGGAGAAGAACAGATTGCCTTCTGTCCACCCTCATCACAGCATGCTATATCCACTTTCTCACAGCTTCAGGAAGGCTATTGCTGAGAGACATGGAAATCTCTGTTTGGACAAGGTAGGAGCTTTTGTGTGGTTTTGTGCTGTTAGCCTGTGGGCCTCATGTGGCCCCTGAGGGTTAAGTTTCAGCTCCTGGGTTCCCACCCAGCCACTGCTTTCCCCTGTTGCTCTGGCTGCTCCATACTACCTGCCCCTGACCAAGGGGGTGGGGCAGTGCAACATGGCACAGTTTGCAGGGGTTGGGGAGGCCATAGCCCAGGCTGTTGGGGGGGGAGAGGAGCTCCCTGGGGGGGGGGGGGTCAAAGGTGAGCCTAGGTGCCTAGAGGCATGTGGAGTGCAGCGGAGGGGACACCTGTATGTATGGTGCAGTGGGGAGGAGTAACGGAAGCAGTACAGGGGCTACGGGGACCTTGGTTCTTGCTGGTGTGGCCCTTGGTAATGTGGCCGGGGGGGGGGGCAGCCTCCAGCTGCTTTAAAGTTGGACAACCCTAGTTCAGCCCACATGAACAGTGAAGTTTGCAGTCCTCCATAAGTTCAGAAACCAACCAGTGACAGCTGTCAAAACTTTGAGAGTCAGACACACAAATGTCGTTGAGTTGGATAGAGGCCTTTTCTTTGCTTGGCCAGCTGATTCTGATGTCCTGCTATGTGGCATGTGGGAGTTTGCTCCTTTGTTAAGAAGCTTGCATGATTTGAAATTTAAAACATTTCATGTTTTATGTTCATAATGGTTTGAATATGAGGTAAGACAAGTTGTGGGCACATCTGAAGGCCTTAGACATTCAGGAAGGGGTCCAGTGTATTTGAGGTGTATTTTAGAGCAGCTTAATCCCAACCCTGTTCTGAGCCCCACTGAACAATAACTCAGTTAGTAGAGCAGGATGGTTAATTCTGGGG